TCTATCTATCTATCTATCTATCCTTTAAGAATTACATGTCAGTATATAAAAGTACTGTATTTCTGTCATAAGTTCTTCAAGTTAAACCGAAGTTTTATTTTGGTGGTTTGTGGTGAAGATCTTTGAGTTTCAGTGCGTGTTTGACAGGACTTTTCCTCAAAATGAAGTGACTCTCAGAGCATCTCTGGAGATGAAGTTCACATGTTCACGTCCTCATATCTTGAGTCGAGCGTCACGCGTGTTCGACAGCGAGTCCTACCTGTCGTAAGTCCAGAGTGACGGTGACCCAGTGGAACTGACGGCCGTTCTTGATGCTCGGGCTCTGCCACCACTGGTTGGTGCCGTCGATGGCGCTAGTAATGGGATGTTGCTCTGTTTGAACAAACATAAAATGATCTACTGATTAGATAACATGACTAAACAGACACTGATTCAAAAGATAAATCGATAACACTTTACAATAAGATTTCATTAGTTAACATGACTTCTAATGTATGACTTCTTAATGTTAATTTCAACATCTACTAATACATTATTAAAATTGATAGCTGCATCTGTTAATATTATTTAATGTATCTGAGCTAACAGTGCTGATTTTTATTAGTAACTAAAATTAATAAACACTGGAACAAATATATATATTGCTCATTGTTAGTTAATGCAGTTAACTATTAGTAAGCGTCATCGATTGTTTTCAGCTAAAACCATATTGTATCTGATCAGCAATTTCGGATTAATGAGTGAATGTGAAAAAATTCTAAATTTTATTAATGAAAAACTTTTTAAATTTCAAATTACACACAAAGTCCAAAAATTATGATTTATTTCTAACAAAACGTAAATATTACTCTAAAAAGTCTTAAAACTAAATAAATAAATTTTACTTGCACTTTCAGATGAAAAAAGCGATACATTTTTCACGCTGCAGTGGTGTCAGACGCACACATTCATGTTTATAAACAAAATTCAGTACAAAAGTGAGTGAGAGACGGGGAAAAAGAAGAAATATTTTTTACAAATGTTTTTGACACTCATGTAACTCCACAGATAATTTTACAAAAAGTATTTTTGAAACTAATGACCCTCCATACATACCCAGTTCAAAAAAAATGACTCGAACACGAAACGTCTTTTACATCTCTTATATAAATAAGTGTAAACAATCTAAAAAAAAAGTATGTTTTTTTTAATTAAATTCCTTACTGAAACCCATGACTTATTTTAGAGATTTGTATGCATCTCTTCCAGAGTCAGAACGGACCTGAATGCATCATGAGGATTAAAGCCGAAGTGAGTCTCGTTACCTTTGGGATTCTGGCTGTTTGCATCACAGATCCGACACTGAGGGTTACGGATTCGTCTTCCAGGAACGTGCTCCACCAGTTTACAGAACATCTCGGGAAGCGGGTCGCCACAGGTGGCGTTCGTGGTGATTTCAGCATTGCTGGCGAGGTTCAGGATAGCGGGAAACAGACCTGGAATGCCAAACGAAGAAGTGTTTAACAAAAGCTAAATCACTGCATTGAAGAGGCTGCATTAGAGACCCTCACCCACCCATCCATCCATTCACGACACAAATCACTACGTCTTGGACAACTGACCAAAGCTGGCCTTTGGTGTGAGGAGATAAGCATCATTACTGACAGCAAAAAACTCAATGAGAGGGAACCGTGAAGATGAAGAAGATCTTCTGCCCTCCCCAGCAGGTCATGAGGTCAAAGTGAGCTTTAGAGCTCCGAACCACAATACATGTGTCCCTGGAGCACAAAAGCAGTGTTAAGTCGCTGGGGTATATTTGTAGCAATAGCCAACAATACATTGTATGGGTCACAATTATACATTTCTCTTTTATGCCAAAAATCATTAGGATATTAAGTAAAGATCATGTTCCATGAAGATATTTTGTACATGTCCTACCGTAAATATATCAAAACTTAATGTTTGATTAGTAATATGCATTGCTAAGAACTTCATCTGAACAACTTTAAAGATGATTTTCTCAATATTTAGATTTTTTTGCACCCTCAGATTCCAGATTTTCAAATATTGTCCGATCCTAACAAACCATACATCAATGGAAAGATTATTTATTCAGCTTTCAGATGATGCATACATCTCAATTTCAAAAAATTGACACTTATGACTGGTTTTGTGCTCCAGGGTCACATATCAGCAAAATCAGTGCTGGGAGTTTGTTCAGCCAGGTTATCGTAGTTGACCAAATCTAAAACTAAAACCATAAAATATATTTTTGTTACTTAAATTTTTTTTTTCAGCTAGTTGCCAAAGCAGAACTTCTCATTTTCGTTTAAGTTGAAGTACTTAAAAAAAAAAAAAAAAAGAATAGAACTGAAAAATTACTAAAACTTTAACGCAAAAAAAAAAAAAAAATTAAAAAAAAAAAAAAAAAAAAAAAAAAAAAAATTACTAAAACTTTAACCAAAAAAAAAAAAAAAATTATAAAAAAAAAAAAAAAAAAAAATATATATATACACAGTATCTCTCAAACTATAATAGTATCTCATGTAGTTAAAGTCGATGTACTAAAATAAAATAAAAATAAAAACAACAACTAATAAAACAATGACAAACAAATTAAAACAAAAATGGAAAACAAAATAATTAAAACCAATTCAAAATATATATAAAAAAAAATAGTATCTCTCAAACTATAATAGTGTCTCATTTAGTTAAAGTTGATGTACTAAAATAAATAAAATTAAAACTGAAATAGAGATTAACAAAAACTATATAAACATTAAAAACAACAAAATTACTAAAACCTTTATTAAAGCAAAAATGGAAAATACAAAAATAAAATAACTAATTCAAAACATAAAAAAAAAATAGTATCTCTCAAACTATAATAGTGTCTCATTTAGTTAAAGCTGATTACCTAAAATGAATAAAAATAAAACGTTTTTTTAAATGAATAAAAACTATATAAACAAAACAAACAAAAAATTTTTTTATGATAGTAACTCAATGATACGAAAAGAACACTGCCGTTGACTGATTTAACAAGCGTCACTAATAATCAATATGAATTAAAACAGCTAGTGTGAGTAACATTCCCGCTGAAGACTGAATCAGTGTTTCAGACTCAGGCCTGTGTCTCGGGGAGTTTGTGGCTTTGAATGGACTCCAGCGGTGCTGAGCACACAGAAACTTCAAACGCTCAGCAGATAAAGAGAGTCTGATGACTGAAGTCACATCTGGCAGCGTTTGCATGTCACAGGCACGCATCGACACCTCTAATCGCATCTGAGAAACAATCAGTGAGAAAAACACTTTCAAACAAACACATCTGTCTGCTGCTACTAAAGAACGACAGGAACTTTTCAACATCGTCACACAGCTGCAAATGCATTGATGCCACTAAGAAAATATGACTAAATTGAGTTTAAGGGAATAAATTAATGCTGATGATGTTAATAACACTACTATGAGTAGATTGACTACTGATGCACTTTTATGGTTAAACGATTCTACAACCAAATCAACTATATTCACCCACTTATATATATGTAAGGAGTCGACCGATATGTGTTTTTCAGGGCCGATTATTACAGATCAAGTAGACGGATAACCGATATTTTGAACCGATATATATGTCTGGCGTAAAAATGAAAGTTAATGTCAAAATTAAGAATAACAAGGGCTCTGGTGACCTCACGTGTTAAATGTGTTCGACAAACCTGCGGGTGAGAAATCTCGTTAATGTGGCAAATGCTATACTATCAATGCAAATACTATCAGCATCCCGGCCGAACCCCCTATGTTAATTTAATTTGATCATATGAAGCGTCTGCTAGCAAAAATCTCTGAATTAATTTTATTTTTTGTGTACTAAAGCAACTATTTAACACTTACAAGGGATAATT